GTCCAGTTGCCTTTTGGAAAAAAGCAGCTTTGCAACTCTACATAGTGCATTCTTTCTTGCAATGGATAGGTGGCATATAAAGACATTGGTATTAGAACATAGATATTTTTAACATTTGTATTTTATTGTGCTACTAATCTAAATGAAATGTTAATATATATTGCTAGCCCATGTATGACATATGTTAATAAATATTTTTTTTCAAAGTCAAAATGGCTAGATACAATGGACAAAACAATAGGAACTGGTTGTTTGGGAATTGATAGGAACAATAGGAAACCTAAACAAAGAAATACACACAAATGATGAATATTGGCTACATAATAACAATTGACAACTTGTCACTGACTAGACCATCCAAACTCTTAAGGAGCTTCTTTTCTTTTTATAAATTATATATCATTTTATTAGATTATAGAATAAAATACACAAATACAAATGGAAATGTTAGGACACAGTGAGGAGGGGAGAGAGAAAGAAAAGTGAGGAGGAGAGGAGGAAAAGAAAAAAAAAGGTGTTGACTTTTGACTCCTTCTGTTGGCAGTAGAACAAAGCATTAACATTGAATCTCAACTTTTTACTTTTCCATAATAGTATAAACTAACTTCTATAGCAACAAATTAATCTAATCAGCAAAACCCAAAATCAAAGGATTTACTTTCTAACCTATAAATTTCTATGCAATTAAGTAGCTGATATATAGGTAGTCCTTATAACCTCAGCCCAAAATGTCTGTTGCTAAACAAAACACTTGTTAAATGAATTTTTAACCATTCTTGCCACAATTATTAAGTGAATCACTACAGTTGTTAAATTAGTATCATGGTTGTTAAGTGAATCTGATGTTTCCATTGACTTTGCTTGTCATAAGGTTGCAAAAGAGGATAACATATTCTCAGGACACTGCAATTCTCATGAGTCAGTTGCCAAGAATCTAAATTTTGATCATGTGACCATGCAGATGCTGCAATGGTCATAAGTCACTTTTTTCCCATACCGTTGTAACTTAGAACAGTCACTAAACAAACTGGTGTACTACCTGTAATTGAGCAGAATATATAGCCATGTATTTAGAGAGTTTTGCCCTATTTCAAGCCATCACCCAAGAAGCCCAGCAACATTTCCCTACAAAAGTTCAGAAGTGATTACAGTTAACCAGAAGTGCCACTTCATTAAACCCTGCAAAGCAAGAGGGCAGACTGGTGTCCATGGTTTACCACAGCATTTGTAGTGATACTGTCTTTGGTATGCTGAGTTAATGTGCTCATCTTATTTTGCAGAATAGGCATTGTGTGTAATAAAGGGAAAAACAGCCTCCTTGAGAGTAATCATATGTGGACTCAATGTATCATAAGTTTAAAGGCTATCAGGCAAGGCTTTGGGATTGACGGAGGGAGAAAAGCAAGCAAAACACATACTTCACCTCACTTCACTGAAGAATGTAAAACAAAAGTGCCAATGGGCGTCTGTGTTCAGGTTTGTAAAGCCCTCCCAGTGCTTCAGTGAGGCTGGCCTTGAAGCAACTCCCTTTCAGTCTGAAGTGGGAGGGGAATTTAGCCATTCCATCTCTTGCCAACTGGGAGAGTAGGTGGCTGCCACAAGGAGAAAGGAGTGCCTACCCATCTTCTGCTGAGGCTATCATTCCTGGAAGGAGGAAAATAACATATCAACGTGACTTACCTCTTGTTGGATATTGTAAGTTTATTTAATACTTTTATTTTTCTAAAAGAGCTTAATGAGTGTGAATAAATTAATTCCTCTTTTGGTATATCCAGCGTTTGCCTTTTGACACTGGTAACTGCTTGCCTGCTCCCTAAAACTCTTCATAAATGGATTACCCTCATGTTACTAGTCATGATAATACTAGTATTAAAAAATAAAAAGTGACCCTTTGATAGAAATCATGCAAGCTAAGGGGAGAATTTTTAATTGCCAAATCAAATGGCTCAATTAAATCAGTGTACTAAGAGTCAATTTTTGTGATGTAATGATTAAAGGGCACTAGGCTAAATCTGAAAAGATTCATATTATATAAAAAATTCTAGCATGGTTCTTTGAATAGTTGTGAGCCTTTCTTTACAATTTGAAGTTCCCATTTTCAATATGCATCAGACTTTTGCGACTTGAACCTTTTTAGTTAGGGAAGGACTACAGGTCCTGATGTAACAGACTGCATTGAAGCAGAAATTTCTCTGAAAGGAGGGAAATGAGACAAAAGACAACATAGCCAGGAGATGGATTGTAGCTATAGGAAGAGATTTAGGATAGCCACTTTCTGGAATCTTCCAGGTATATCCATTAGGGTTAGAGTTAGGTTAGGGAATGGCACACCAAATGTTTTAGAATAGACCCCCTCCTAGTTTTCCAGAGAGAAAAAGAAAAGGGGAAGAGAAATACTTTCAAACTTGTAAGATTCTGTTAATGTAACTTAATAAAGATAGAAGTAGTCCTGGCTGTGCTTCTTGTCTGAACTACACCTTAGGGCTAATACATATTTAAATACAGGCAATGTAACTATGGTTATACTTTTTAGCCCTTTCCTGCATGCATGGATTCAACTCCATTCACCAAGACCAGACACTTCTTCCCTCCTTCCGCCCGAAATTTAAATCTTGCCCCTCTAATTCCCAAATCCTTCCATTTCTTAACAGTATCCATTCTTTCATCCAGACTAGACTGCAAAATATAATTTCAATTCAAATAAGCCCAATCCTTTTCTTTATTTTGCATTTTATAATACCTTAAATTTAACTCATGTTTTGTCCCTTGCCATACACATTTAGATATGTCTTTCTGCATTGTTTAACTTTTATATTAGATGTCAAAACTAGTATTATCTGAAATAAAAATAACATTCTAGGCAAAATATTCATCTTAATCACAGATAACATAATTCTGAAGTTCTTAACATTTAATGGATCTTGCACTCCACTTCTTTTGGGCAATAGACTTGGGAAGACTTGACACATTTGGACATTTGAAGTTTTCAACTGCTATTGTAAGAACCTGTAAGCCCCCTGCTGGTTGGTTTATTGTACTTTTTTGAACGTAGTATAATGTTCAGATTTTAGGAAGTGAAAAGAATGGACCTTTTCATAATGCCCATAAGTTTCAATTATTATATTTGCTGGCAAAATATATTATGATATGTGTAGCACTTTTAAAGAAAATGGAATAAGTTCAACATCTACAAAAGGAAATAATATACCACAATGCTGTGGGAACTTACTGCAATGTTCAGAAGTTTCTACAGTGCAATGCATACCTCTACAAGGTAGCAAAATGAAATGGTTTGCCTGGCAGCCACCACTTTGTCTCCTCCATAAACAGGTGGGACAAAATTGTGGCCACATTCAGGTTGTTCCACGCGGCCTAGAAACAAACTGTTTTATTTTCCTTTTTTAACCAGGTCTGCACAGTGCTGTAAAAGCTTTCTGCAGCATTCAGAAGGTTCTACAGTATTATTAGTATTTATATAAGGCTGCAAAATGAAGCAGTTTGCATAGTTGCCAGCATTTTGTCCCTGCCCAGAAACAGGAGGAACAAAATGATGGCCGCATTGAGGTCACCACCAAACAGCCCAGAAACAAACTGCTTCATTTTGCTGCCTTAACAAGTCTGCACAATGCTTCAGAAGCTTTCTAAAGTGTTCAGAAACTTCTGCAGCACTGTGCAAACTTCACTAAGGCAGGAAAACAAAGCAGTTTGTCTGGCAATTGCCATTTTGTTGCTGCCCATAAGGGGGCAGCACAAATGGCAACTGCTTCTGGATCACTGCCACATGGCCTGGGGACACATACCTGTCCTTCTTCCAGAACGTAAGATCTGCAAAAGATAAATGTGGTAGTGTGCTGCATGATGAGCATATAGGTAATAGGCCCAAGTGCTGCAGGGTTCTGGCTGGGTGGGGTGGGAGGAGAGGCAGAAGGTGACCCTGTGGTGGGTCATTAGAACAAATGACAACAGGACTGCTACAGCCATTATAACTTAGAAATGGGATTGTATATAGCTTTTGGGGGGGGGGGTGTCGTCTCTTTTCACTGAACATTTGTTAATGGCCTGTTGCACTTCAACGACTACGTATATAAGAAAGAGATTGGCCCATTTTTAGAGGCAATATCTAGTTAGTTATAATTAAACAAACACAAGACAATTAAAGTACATGTTCTGAATATAGTATAGTAGAAACCAAGGTACACATTCACCCAAGCACCTCTCTTTCTGTTTGGGCCTGGGAGTGATATGAGAAACTATTAAAATATATGAGCTTTATATACCAGGTCTCTTGTAGCAGTAAAATTTCATTTGGCTGTACATAGACTGTAAATTCTGAATTGGATTGTTTGTTTCCCATCTTGCAGTGCTTCCGTCTTGCAGTATTCCAGAACCTTTCCCCTTAGGGGGAAAATTGGGAATCGTTCAGAAAAAGAACAGAAGCAGCAGATCTGATAGAGGTGATAAGGTTTGCAGTGTGAAATTCAAAGAATCTGATGAAACCTGTGTATGAGGGAAGGAAGGGGACAAGGAAATATTTTAATATAAAAGCTATTCATTGACTTGGCACTAGTTTCTATTTTGGGTAATTATTTTAGTAATAGGAAGAAGGTTGTTTAAATTGGGGTATTACTTTGTAATTTGAAGGTTTTAATTGTAGTTGATCAGAAAAGGAGGCTCTGCAAGAATCTTTTCTTAGAGAAAAAATAGAGTATGTGTTGCTTGGGGATAACTAGAATATATTCAGAAGGGGACAAGAGAGGGCAACTATGTTGGTCTCAGCATTGCTATAAGAGCTAGGGCTTTCTTCATGCTTTTGGGGTGGGGTGTAGAATAAAGAGTGCTGATATGGAAGGTGTACTATTATTAAAGAGCAAATTAGTAAAATTCTGATTTGTTTTGATTTTGCTAGTCTACACAAAGTAGAACTTTGTCTACTTCTGGGAAGTCAGGCAAAATAATTTCTAACTTATATATTCTTTATAGGCACAGGAAAGCAAGAAGGAGATCATTTATCTGAACATAAATTCTATTTCGGTCTTCTCAAAGTTCTCAGTAAGTATGCTGGTTAGTTCTTATCTGTGTATTTCTGTAAATTTAGTACTACTCTTAGTAGTAAGTCCAGAATCTGAGGAGGATGGAATGGGGGTCAGTTGATTGTTAAAATTTTGAAAACCCGAGTGAGAAATTTGCAAAGAAGCCAAATAATTTTCCGTTTTTATTAGCATAGACAATATTATGAATCAGAGGTGGATTCAAATGTTACTACTTGTTCTGTGGACATGGCTTGGTGGGTGTGGCATGGCTTGGTGGGAGTAGCTGGGTGGGCAGGGCAGGGGAAGGATATTGTAAAATCTCTACTCCCACCCCATTCCAGCGGAAGGATACTCTAAAAAGATAATAGATGGGGGCAGGGCCCGTCAGAGGTGACATTTACCGGTTCTCCAAACTACTCAAAATGTCTGCTACCGGTTCTCCAGAACTGGTCAGAACCAGGGGTGGGTTGTTGCCGGCATTACTGCTGGTTCTCAACCTGCATGTGTGTGCACTGTTCAATGTTCTCAACCTGCATGTGCGCAGAAAAAAATTTCAGTGAATTGCACATGCACAGTCACTAAAATCCAAAATGGCAGCGGCCAAGGGGCAGCGAGGGAAGAGCTTTGGGGGCGTGGCAGGCCTGGGTCACTGCTGGTTCTGCGACCCTGGCCTGAATTCTGCTACCGGTTCAGCCGAACTGGCAGAACCCACCTCTGGTATGGATTTGTTCAAGATAAGTAGTATTCTGTCCACATCCCTGGCGCTTAGTAACCAATCTACAGATATTAATTTAGCTTGAGCAATGTTGCAACCAAGTCAAAGACATGATTACTCTTTTTAAGTGTCTATTTTATGAATATTTGCAGTATTGTTTTAAATTACAAGCATAATTTGGGATGGTTTCAAGGTATAGAATGATACTGAAAAGTTCATCTTGTAAGAATGGTTTTGGTTCTTCCATCTTCCACCTTCTGGCAAACAAACAGGGATATCTAGTTTATTATTTGTCTTTGCTATTTATATTCAAGCATAACAGGGAAACAGCATTGTGGATTTAGTCTCATAAAGGAGCACAATACTAGGAGAAGAGCCATGTTTTTCTCCTCAGTATTGTGTTCCTTCTTGAGACTGAATCCTCAATGTTGTTTCTCTGTTATGCTTGAATATAAATACCAATGACAAATAATAAACTGGATTTCCCCGTGTGTTTAACACAAGTTGAAAGATGAAACCACCCAGACCCTTGGGGTGAAGTCTTTTGTTAGGTAAAATGGGCTTTTCAGGAGGGCAGCAAAACAAAGGAAGTTCACAGTTAAATACCTAGAATGTTGAGGTCCTTTAACCATTGGAGAATGGTGTTGGTTTTTTCTAGGTTGCAATTTCCTTGTAAGGTTATCCTTGGCTTGTATTATGAAATGGGGAGGAAGCTTTTATTCTATGATTTATATGAAAGTGTTGCTCTGCTGGGGCAAGAAAGATTAGTTTGGGTCTGATAAGATTAGGGAAAGAGAGGGTTTGACCCAGTCACATCCAAAATCCAATGAGAGGAATAAATGCAATCTCCATTTTGTTTTGTCTATGTAAGGAGGTATTCCACCAACCTAGAAAGAGTCTGTGGCCAGGGAATTAGACATAACATTACTTATAGGACTATTTGTCTGTTGATCTAAAAGATGTTTTTCTTGAAGAGGGAGAAAAACAGATCCATCTGCTTGTACATTCTGTCTCCTCAAAAATCAGCTAAAGACTCAAACTATGATAAGAAATTTTGCACTAACTGCAGTCTGATTCTAGGGCCAGATCTTCAAGACTTTTCTTGCCTAGGATTTGTCAGGCTCTTTTCCATTGGGATTTCGGAGATAAATAAAAATTCCAAACAACATAGCAATATATTTCTGAGTATCAGTGCTAGTAAGGAATAGCAGGAGAATAATGTAACATCTCTAGAGTATATCATTAATACTGAGTTAATTTCAGTTAATTTCACTCTTCCTACTGGATCCCTTAGATGCAAAGAGCATAAAATATCTTCATATTCAAGATGAGCCTTGCTGAAAAAATAGCATTTTTGGGTTCCTCTGAGTTCCTTTTCCCCCATTAATCTTCGGTCTTGTCTCACTGCTTTGTCTTAATCACTTATCCCATTTTTCCTCCCATAGTACTTGCTTCCTTGTGTCTGTGCTGAAAGTACAGAAGGATCTGTAAAGTCTGCTTGCTCTTTTACTGAGTTCTTCAAAGGATTCTTTAAAGCACAAAAGAAAAGGTAAAATTATTATCTTTACCTATTACTACAATATTAGTATCATTTCTTCCTCTTTGCCTTCAAGATTCCATCCTGTATGCATCTGAAATGTATGCATTTCAGGTGCTTCTATTGCCTCTTTTCCTTAGCTTCTAGGAATGTAGATGGAAACATGGCTGCCTAGATGTCCTCTTGAAGAGAGTGAAATAGTAAGATTTATTACAATGACGTAATTTAGCTTGGATTTAGTTCATTTTCTTAAAGGCTAAATTCATTATCCTAGAAATCACTAATACAACAAAGAAAGAAATGAAGGAAAGACAGCTAGTTTGGTCTGGTTATGGTTATAGAGAAGATAGGAGAAAGGAGTATTAGGCATGTTCTCTGCCTTGAGTTATTTATAAAATAATAAAGTGATATAGTAAATAAAATAAAAATGGTACTTTAATCACAATCAAATGTCTTTTTTCCTTCCTTCCTTCCCTCCCTCCCTTCCTCCCTCCCTCCCTCCTTCCACCTTCCCTCATTGATTGATTGATTGATTGATTGATTGATTGCCATTTTAAGGTGAATGTAATTTGCATACATTTAACAGTCCATTTGACAGAGACAGGTATGTAGCTACATATGGAAAAGAAATGTTTCAGACAAAAGGCAAATATAATCCTTTTACATGCTAGCTGTGTTTGATTATTAACTGAACAAATGGTTATCCATACCTTCAGATGATCCCACATATTATGTGTGTAATTCTTATGAGCAGATAAATATGTTTTGTTCTGCAGATCCATTGACTGTAATGTGGTTTTATTAAATATTGTCTAATAAACATTATACAAATTTTATAAATAAACACATATTTTAGGACAGTGTATCAGGACAGTATGCCTTCTATCTTTTTTGTGCAATAGTTTAAGTATCCAATGAACCATGCAGCCTAGTAATCAAAATTAAAGAAATTTATAAAATACAGTTTCAATATCAATCTAATTCTCAACTGTAGATGGCAGTTTATTCCATCATTTTTCTAAAATGAAAGCACAATATTAGCATGAAGTTTTTAATAAGGTTTTGTTTAAAACGACATACACACCAAACTATGAATAATAATATGGTAACCCAAGGAAAAAGTTATGTCTTTATCCTATATATAGTTTGGATAAAATAAATCATATTGTACTTTTAGGAAACAATATTCATGATTCTTACTATATTTTCTAGTTATCTAAGCTACATTTCAGAACCTATGGAAGAAGAATGGACAAAGTGTGGCTCTGCAGAACTTATTTCAGGCTTAGCCAGCATGGCCAATGCTAGAAAAAAATAAGAGTTACCGTTGGTGACATCTACAGAGCCACACATTACTTACCTCTGTTGTAGGTAACTACTAGTTGCCCTTTTCAACTCAGCATTATTATTATTTTTACTTTGCTACCAGGTAAAACTTTATGAACTAAACATATATAGTGGGCACTAAGTTTGAAGAACTAAAAAAAGATCAATTTGCATATGAATTCTGGTATGGGAATATATGGATAATATTTTATGTTAATTCTTTAATGATTGTGAGTTCTATGTACTACAAGAAAAATGTATTTCAGATTTACTATTGAGAATAATGCCAATATGTAGATCACTAAAAGGATAGGGACTTATTTGGGACACATAGTGGGGAGATTTTTCTTTTGATTGCCATAGAGAAGATAGTGCTCTCTTTATCTGCTCCAGGAGAAAAATATATTTTATTTAATATCCAGTTATTAATAATAGAGTTCTTTAATATCTTTTGGAAATAATATATCCAGAGGAGCAGACATAATTGATGACACTGTAGATCCATTTGTATCTCTAGTTTTCAAATATTTTGGAATATTTCAAATGTTATCATTTTCTATACTTTCTTCGCAATGTTGACTGAAGATAAAAAGCAAGGACGTCTTTTTTTCTTTTTATGCCTGGAGTATTTAGCTCCCTCTAGTGTCCAATTTCAGAAATTATTAGGATTTTAGCTGTCTTAAACAATTTTGTACCTCTGAAGGTACTATTTATTCCATTATGTTTTGAAGAATTATCCTGCTGATGGTCTGAATTGAGCCCTTTCTATAATTTTTCCAAACATTTCATTAGATAGGAAAATATAAATATGAAAATAAGCAAGGAAAATAATGTGATTCAATTTTACTGAGGAAAGCAAAATTAATTTCTAAAAGAATTATTAGGAAAATGTTCTTTCCTACTCTTCCTCAATATAGATGCCTCTAGATTTATGGATAATTTCCAGGTTCCCTATTAGAATGGCCATTGCTGAGAATTCTGGAATTTCCCACATTACTTACATTCCTCCTAAATTAGATAAGACATTCTAATTGCCCTAGAGATATGAATTTGTGGCCAATACATTTGTAGCTGGTTTATTTTGTTAAAAAAATCTACAACCTGAAACTCTCAATCACAAGAATTGTCCTCCATTCTCTTTATTTATAGTATAGGATCCTAAAAAAAACCCCCACAAAGTTCTCTAAACCATAAAACTGTCTTCTGTCTTTATTTATATTCTGGAGTAGTGAGATAATGAAGAGAAGCTGAGCAGGAGAGATATATGGACAGACATTATTATTGATCCTATTTATCCTAGAACTGGTAAAAAGGGACTTTTATACAGATACTTAAGATTCCTTCCTACCCCACCCCATCACCGATGTACTGATATGAGGAAAAGGTCCAAGTGGGTGGAAGGATTTTTGATCCTCTCTCAAGCTTATTTTCTCAGAATTGGTTCTAAAACTAGACGTAAAGTTTATTAGTACAAAAATTGTAAACGGAGCAAAGAAGGAAGCAGGGAGCTTTAGAAAGACAACATTATGGCAATTCAAGTTTTTGATTAATTATTGTTTTCCTTATTTTTATATCTTGGCTTTAAATCAAACCAAAGACATTATTTTTGTTCAACACAATCTATATGTGGGAACTTAAACCTTTTTTTCCCACAAAGTTTGCTATACGTTACTGTGCTTAGTAGTGTGATTTTATACTATTTCATATGGTTATGTAATCATCCAAATTCAGGAGAGGGAATATGTTTTGGATGAAGGCTCATTTTGTGTTTGCCAGCAAATGTTTAAAAGATTTGAGCAGCGGGACTGGAAAAAGCACAATAGATGTGAGGTATTGAGAGGTCTGAAGTGTGTGCCCACACAGCTATGAATTCCTCTTTCCTTTTCAAATCTTCATTTATCAGCCTGTTTTCATGCCGTTTTGTTCAGTAGTAGCAAATAAACAGAGAAGGAAATTGTACCTTATTGAGGCCTTTGATTCAATCTCCCTCTCTATATTTTTACTGCTACTGAACATCCAAAATGGCCTGAAAAATGTTTCAAAACAGCCTGAAAAATGCCCCCCAAACAGGTTGAAAAATGTCCCCAAAATAAGTTGAAAAATGGGTGGGGGGACAGCCAGTGGTGGGATTAGACAGTTCACCAAACTGGGCAAAATTTTAACAATTGATTCACCTGAACTGGTCCAAACCGGTTGAATCGCACCTCTGACTATGAGAAAATATTTAGTAGCAATAGCAATAGCAGTAGACTTATATACCGCTTCATAGGCCTTTCAGGCCTCTCTAAGCGGTTTACAGAGAATCAGCATATTGCCCCCAACAATCTGGGTCCTCATTTTACCCACCTCGGAAGGATGGAAGGCTGAGTCAACCCTGAGCCGGTGAGATTTGAACCGCTGACCTGCTGATCTAGCAGTAGCCTGCAGTGCTGCATTTAACCACTGCGTCACCTTGGCTCTGGTGACAATAGTTCTAAAATAATTGTCTTTGTATTTGTATACTTATCTCCATGATAAGAGTATATATCCAAGTATAATTTTCTTGAATGAAGAAATCACATTTGAGGCCTTTAATATGTTTTCAAATGTTTGTGCTTTTTTAGCAGAGCATAGTAGTGTTCAGTACCTAGAACTGAATTCTACTGAACTACTTATAGCCAGGTCTTAGGACTAAACAAATAAGAGAATGAGAAATGTGTGTTTGCTGCTCCATTATTGTAAGGTAAACATTACCAAAGTAAGAATAGAAAATGAAGATATGATATTATATATCCAAATCTTATTATCATTTATTCTGTTGACAGGGCAAATTCTGGTTCTAGCACAGAATCAGTTTTGGCAGTCAGTTTTTGCTTGACTGCTTTTTGAAATATTCTAATAGTAACTATTGAAATGCTTTATTGTATAGGGGAATTTGTGGAACTAAACTTTTTGCTACAAATGAAGGGTCATGGCATTAGCTGCTACTGCTTAGCTGCTATTTGCAGTCATAATCCTTTTTTAGAATATCTTAATCTTTTTTCATTAACACTAACTGGAATGTTAAAAACAAAGGATTTAGGACTGCTTCTATTAACACAATGTTTCTCAACCTTAACAGCTTTAAAATGTGTGCCCTTCATGATATTATCCTTCTCCCACCTCCTGAAAAGCAAAGGTATAGTGCTACCTTTGAAATTTTTCATTCTCAGAACAGTGGCAAATATACAAATGCAGAAGTAACAATACTAAAATACCTTCATTATAATCATACATGGTTCAGTAAACTTTTAAATTAGATACAAACACAGATAGGTGAACAGACAGGATGAAGATCTTAGGAAAATAAATCATGCAATGTTTTATAGCATAACAGGAAACGGATGTGACACTTTGGGATGAAAAATTAAAGTCACCTATAAAAAGCTACATTTCTTTCACAATTGCAGTGTCATTCAGTCACAGCTACTTTTTATTCTGGAGGATTAGAAAAATCACATGGAAGGTATAAGGTATTTTCTAATCAAGATACTGTTTTTTATGATAAGCATATTATTATTTTACTCATTAACTAAATAAAGATAATTTCAACCAACAAACAGATGAATTTGTAAATTAAGTTCTTAAACATGTTTTGATGAGAAAGGCACACAATCTGTGTTTGCAAGTTTTGACATTAACTGATACATATTTAAATATATTTAGGG